GCTGATTCGTCCTAGTTTGGGACTCCTCATCAGTACGCACCCACCAGGATTCGAACCCAGGACCTTCCGGTTACAAGGCGAGCTCGTATACCATTAAGCCACTGGGACCCGATCCAATGGTCCTTGAATTCTAACTTCTGCCATATTCACACCACGATACACCCATTGACTGGGTATTGGTTTTCAGGAGAACCAAACACGCGCATCCTTGCCTCTTGCGAGACGAGAACGGCATGCAGGATCAACCTGTGGCGCAACCACTCGAGAGCCCTCTCCCTCGGTGGACCTCGGAATTGGCAGAAGTTAGAATTCAAGGACCATTGGATCGGGTCCCAGTGGCTTAATGGTATACGAGCTCGCCTTGTAACCGGAAGGTCCTGGTTCGAATCCTGGTGGGTGCGTACTGCTGAAGAGTCCCAAACTAGGACGAAACAGCTGTCCAGTACTCCCTGGTTTTCAATGGTTCTCTAACTGATATCAATCCGTGATCAACTCGTAAAACATAACTAATCCTTACAAACCAAACTATAGAAAAATGATTTAGTATATACTCATAAATTAATAAACAACATATTTAAGGACATCAAATTCACAAGAGAAGAAGAATTAGATAACAAAATCCCATTTTTAGATGTCTTAATCAGGAGAACCAACACAGGGAATTTAGAAACACAAGTATATAGAAAACCAACGCACACAGATCAAATACTCAACTATTCTAGCAATAATCCAATTACTCACAAAAGAAACTGTGTGCAGACATTGTTTAGAAGAGTTCAAACACAACAGTGTAGCACACCAGAGTTGAAAAGAATGGAAGAAAAATACTTACAAACGGTCTTCAAGAAGAATGGTTATCCAAAAAATTCATCAAAAAGTGTTTAAAGTCGAATCAAAGCACCAACAAAGAACCATCACCAAAGACCAAAAAGAAATTCATCCTACCATACATCAGAAATATCTCTGAAATAACGGCTCGAATAATGAAACCGTCTGATATAGATATACCACACAAGCCAGCCAGTCAAATCACTCAATTTGAAATTATGCAAACCAGAAAATCCGATAGAAAAAGGAGATAAAATTAACACCATTTACAAAATAAATTGTATGAACTGTAACAGGTATTGCGTCGGCCAAAGTGGGTGTCCCCTTCGAATAAGAAACCAAGAACACAAGTCAGGCGTAAAAAGACATGACATAAATTCTTTAGTATCAATGCATACCGATAATTATGGACATCATTTTGATTGGGATAATATTAAAATCTTAAACAGAGGAAACACCAAATGTGCCAGGGAATTCCTAGAAGCCTGGTACTCAAACGAAAATACCATTAATAAACACGTTAATATAGATGAAATATATCAACTAATAAAAAGCAAATCAGATGACCAGGAAGTTTAAAATCCCAATCAATAGAAAACGGTCAATACATATATGAAGATGGTTGGTCACCAGGAGACGCAATTGTATTATCATTCATGGAGATTTTTAAATCATTTAACTTTATGCTAAATGCTGCGCTGAAGATGCCGTCCAGAAAGACGACGAAAGCTCCGCAAATAAACCAACCAGCTCAGAGAACACTATACTAATTGCACAACATCCATGAATACCTATGCT